AAAGTGATTTGTCATGCAGATGACACTGACAGCAATGTTGCTTTGTGAGCATCAGAAGTGAAATAGAGAAGTAGTGATTACAAGGGGGAATACGAGCATCGGATACACAAAGTATGTGATTAACAAGGCGGGAGAAGAGGCTAGAGACCTAGCAACAGATGGGGTGACAGATGGTGTTCAAGCAACATCCTTTTTTTTATTATCTTGTAAAAAATAACCACTTCCTACAAGGTGCACCTATAATACTTTTGGATTTTGTGATAGGAATGTGCTACCTTGTTGGCAGCCCGGGGCAAAGCAAAGATATCCAGACTGCACGGCCTCTGCTAGAAGAGAGGAAAGGAGTCTATCTTCTGATATGTCCATCTGTCTGTATAATCTGATCTCTCCTACTCCCTGCATCCATTTCACAGCACAGCAGGAAAAGAGGACGCAGAATGCTGGCGTTATGCTTGTAGGCTGTGCTGCAAGTGGGAAATATTTTTCTTTCTTATGAGTAGGGATGCACCGATACTGGTTTTTCGGTATTGAGCACGAGTACCGATATTTTTTTTTCCCCGGTACTCGCCAGTGCCGTGTGCCCACCTTCCTGATTGCCTGTGAAGCCAGTGTTCTAGCAAAACAACACCGGCTTCATTGCTGAGGCTGCCTGACTTCTGACCAATCAGGAAGCTGGGATGCAAGTCATGACATGCCGCCCGGTTTCCTGATTGGCTAGGAAGCTGGCTTCACTTGTTAGACAGCGTGGATTCCTGACCAATTGGGAAGCCGGAGAGCGAGTCATGACATGCTGCCTGGCTTCCTGATTGGCTAGGAAGCCGGCTTCACTTGTTGGTAGGCAGTGTGGATTCCTGACCAATCGGGAAGCCGGGACGCAAGTTATGATGTGCCGTCCGGCTTCCTGATTGGTTAGGAAGCCAGGCTGCCTACCAACAAGTGAAACGTCATGTCCCAGCTTCCTGATTGGCTAGGCAGCCAGCTCCATGCTCCCTCCGCACTGCCGGTCAGAGGGCGATCTCACTCTGACAGGAAGTTCTGGTATCGGAGCATTTGGGCAAGTACGAGTAGTCGCCCAAATACTTGGTATCGGTACCAATACTAGTATCGGTGCATCCCTACTTATGAGCATTATGAGGAAAATATATACAAGAATAATCATATAACCCCCTTTCAGGCGGGATAATGAGACCAGTTTTCCCTATACCGTAGCTATAAGATATTTTTCGGGTTTATAGTGGGATTGGTTTTTATTTTTTCCCTCCCCTCCTAACGTGTACATTCTTCACCCCATTTCAGTTTGTGGATTACTGCTCCAAGCTGACCGTCGAACATCCCGAGGTCATCGCCTTCCTCCAAAGCCGTTTCTCCAAAGCCAACCCTACTTACCTTTCTTCTGTGGAGTTCCGCAACACCTTGGGCCGTTGTCTGACCCGGGTGCAGGGCAAGCAAACGAAGGTCTATGTTTACATCAATGAACTGTGCACCGTGCTCAAGAATAATTCCGAGAAGAAGAAAGTCAACCTGCAAGTCGCCGTCGCTGCAGCAGGTCCTCAGGCCGACAAGGTAGAAACGGAACAACCTGCGGAAGATGCAGAGGAGGAGGTACCGGAGAGGAAAGCGGGTTCCAAGCATCAGATCCGGCGCCTGGAGAACCTCCTGCGACTTTACTCTCAGGAGATCCAGAAGCTACAGGAGAAGGAGCTGAGCATAGAAGACATGGATGACGAGGACTCGACATACATCCAGGAATCGAGGCTGAAGCAGAAGATGCTGCGTATATTCGAGAAGCTGTGCGAGCTGAAGACCTGCTCCAGCCTCACGGGCCGGGTGATAGAGCAACGGATACGGTACCAGGGCACCCGGTACAAAGAGGTCAATCGGCGCCTGGAGAAGTTCATCAATAAAACCAGAGATATCTTCCCAGATTACAATGATGTCCTTCAAGAGGTCCAGAAAGCCAGTGACAGGCATAACTTGGACCTGACGCGCAAGCAGGTGCGGAGCATAGCACAGGACGCTTTTCGGGATCTTGGCAACAAGCTGCAACACCGGAGACATTTGGACATGGTGTATAACTTTGGTTGTCACCTGACAGATTCTTACAAGAGTGGTGAGTGCTTTGTAGAGAAGAACACTTCCGTGTGGAAAGTTCTGAATGCTTCTGTAACCGGGTTAAAGTAGACCTGTCATCTGATGTGACCCCCTAAGCCGACATTGACTGGGGAATTTATCAAAACTGGAGCAGTTGCCAGTGGCAACCAATCAGCTTCCCTCTTCAGTTTGTTCAGTTAAGCTTTGAAAATGAAAGACAGAAGCTGATTTGGTTACCATGGGCAGCTGCTCCAGTTTTGATAAATTTCCTTCTGTGTATCATGTTCTATGTGTTCCATGAAATACTAAATTCACCGTTGATGAAAAATGGTGATCAGAGCTCATTGCTTCCAGGTTCAATCCTAGTTAGGGGACATCAACGATCTTCACTCTCGCAGCTGACACTGGCCATGAGTGAGCCCGGGATACATGGGCGGCCATTACTGTGCGCATGGAAGTGATCACTTCCACAGATAGACAGAAATGGTGCAGCTCAACTCGCACCTCCACTCCCGCTAATGGAACCTCTGAGCCGGATGCTGTGTAACTAGCACATGATAATCTTCCAAAGAAATTCAAACTTTATTCCACATGCATTTGTACAAAGCACAACCACTGACGCGTTTCGGACTTACTCGGCCTTAGTCATAGCTATTTTGAATTTCTTTGGAAGATCATCGTGTGCTGGTTCCATAGTTTTTGAGCCTGTTACTCCGGAAGAGAGTTGTCCGTGCACCCGGGGACGTATGACGGGTGAGCTGTGCACTTCGTGTTTTCAGTCTGAGCCAGATGAGGCTTCCACCAAAGCCTTAAATCAGAGTCTATAGAAAAGCGGCGCTTGAAACGGGATCAGTCCAGTAAAATGAATTTATTTCCAAAAAGGCATAAAAAGAGGCATTGTGGGGCTAAAACGCATCCGAAGTTTGACTTTTTATGCCCTTCTTTTTTTTTTAATGCTTTTTGCGAATAAATTGACCGCAAATAAAAATGTTATATTGCAGCTTATAAGTCCTTGGGCTTGGTGGCTGCATTATAATTATTTTACTTGATGGTCCTGCCAGTAACGCACTTCCTGTCCTAGGGTGACAATGCTCACCCACTGTACTGTCCCTGAGAAGCGGCGTGGTAACACTATAACTTCCTCTCCATAAGATGGGGGGAGATGTTCTGTAGTTTATAGAGGTTTACTGTAGAGCTGCAGCTAACGATTATTTTCAAAATCGATTAGTTAGCCGATTATTAAGTTCGATTAATCGGTTAATCGGATAAACAATAAAATAAAGTTTAAAAAATGGCTCCAGTGATGGACTACTAGTTTCTATTAAGATTGTAGTCCATCACAGGAGCAAGCTTGGAGCGGTGGAAGTAAAAAAAGTGTGGTGTGCAATATAGTGAAATGGAAAGTGTAAATGTATACAGCAATCAATGCAGACTGGCACCGGCTATAGAGGACTACAAATCCCAGCAATAGTACATTATACAGCGCAATGCAGAATATCACCAGCTATAAAGGAATACAACAAATCCCAGCAATAGTACATTATAGCTGGCGGTATTCACCCCCACACCTGCTCCTCCCTACTACATCTCCCCGCGTCCCTGTGCCGATCGTGGATGTGGACGGGCGGTGAGTGTGAAATGGGAAGGAGGTGCGGCGTGTAGAGCGTGGATGCGGGCGGGTCTGGCAGCGGTGCGCAGCGTTTGTGGAGCCGTGAACAGGGCCAACTGTTTGGAAGCCGATTAATCGATTATTGAAAAAGTTGACAACTTTTTCAATAATCGATTATAATCGATTATGTCGATTAGTTGTTGCAGCCCTAGTTTACTGTGCAGGGGTGATAACTAGGGATGCACCGATACCGGTTTTTCTGTACCAATACCGGTGCTTCCGCTGGCATGGAGCCGGCTTCCCAGGCAATCAGGAAGCCGGGTGGTATGTAATGACTCGCCTCCCGGTTTCCTGTTGGCCGGAAAGCTGGCTCCATGCTGATTGGCTGGTAAGACAGCTCCCAGCCAAACGCTGGGAGGACACTGCAGAGCGCACAGGACAGCCCTGGATTCTGGCAGAAGCAATGGGTATTAATTTGCCGTTATTGAACAGAGATATTAAAGCGATTCCAATGCTATATTTTTTAGCAAACCCGAAAGTGAGCGATTTAAGTTTTAGGAGTTGGGGTTACACTTTAAACTTGATAATTTTATTTATTAGGGCATTTTTCCTATTCCTTTCCTTGGAGATGATGAGGAAATCGGCAACCCCTCTGCTCACGGTGAAAGTTTTAAAAGTTTACTGAGAAGAGTTACAAAGTAAAAATGAAAGATTAGAGAGCCGAGAAATGCCGTGTGCAGAGATCCTCGGACAAGCTAAGGGGTTCGTTCTCTTGGTCAGAAGGAGAGAGGTAGAGATGATGAGTGGAGTGGTTAATGTGCAGGATAAGGTAGGTGGAGGGTTAATATACAGGTCACGCTGAAACAGGATGGAGATGGTGTGCAGGAGAGCAGCGGTGAAAGTGTTAAAAAAAAATAACCCCAAAAACCAATCCCACAATCAATAAACATGCCTGGCCATGAATCTGCTGCTGATCCGTCCGCTCATTAAAGCTTCATTGATAAATTCTCCATTGTGATTAGAAGGGGAGGGATGTCCAATGAAAACATTAGAATATTGACATTTGTACTTGATGTGATTGGGGGGGCTCTGTACCTCGGGATGACCAATCAGCTCTGTAGGTTGTGTCTGTGGTTTGAGCTCTCTGATGACAGTTCAGAACACAGACATTCATGAACATCCTTGGTAACATTTCAATTTAGAACTGTTCTAATTGGGATATAGAGATATGATTGGATAGAAATCCAGCATGTGCCTAACTTCCTGTTTGGGTATACAACATAATGCCTTTTGTGCTCTAAAATGACACTTGTGTTGTCAGGCCTACCCGCAGGGCTGCAGAACTTCACCCCTTCTGTTCCTCTCCACATACTCTCAGATTACATCTGAGCTCTACAATTCTGCTGCATTGGTGTGCGTGCGTACGTGTGGTTATAAACTGAACTCCAGAAATACAAATCCACCACTCAGGCGTCTTAAAATGTGTCTCCGCATTGCATAACAAAACATTCCACCCGTGGGCTACTGACTGCTATCTAGTCTGTTCAAAGCTCAGTCCAGCCAAGACATTTTGTTTTTTGGATAGGTTAGAGAAGGGTTGCAGCCTCTGTCAATTTTTAATGCCGTGTCTCTGTTGGGAAGATTTCGTCTCGCTACCTCCCAGGATAGGAATTGATGGGGGACGTCTCTACAGGGGACACGGCCAAAAACAAGAGGGGAAGGGTTGGAACATCTGCTAACTATTTATTTTTGCTGTCTTTGATACACACACACTCTCCCCTGTTTCTTGACCGGCAATACAGGGACAGGAAGTGAAGGAAACTATCCCCATTGTGGTCATCGACGGGGGAAAAACATGACCCATATTGAACTCTTCTGCATTCTATCCAATAATGGGAAAACATGTCATGTGTTGTACAGGACTTTGGCATTAGAGGCTCATGTGGTTTTTACATTTCCTCTTGTAGGTCTTGACCCTGCTGAACAAGACTCCTCCCTGGCTCGACGTCTGCGCGAAAATCGTAGCTTGGCCGAGAATCAGCTGGAAGATGTCATCAAGAAGTATGCAGAACTGCAGGATGAAGGGGAAGATGAGGACTGGAAGAACAAGAACCAAGACAATGAATTGCCGAGTACTTCCAAGGATGTGAAGGTAGATAACAGGGACTCTGTATAGAGTGTAGAGGTATTAGAGCCTCGGTCAGGCTACAGAGCCATCCATGGCGAGGGTAGGGGGTCACCTGATCAGCTCCAGTCATTATTTCTGATGTCCCCTTGTGTGGGGTTTTTTTTTTTTCCTGTTTAGTATTTTCTTTGATTTCAGTCCCTCTGCTCGTTGTTGCCACTTCAGCTTTCAGCACCAACTGTTTTTGGATTAGTTGCAGGATTCTCCGAGAAGCAGAAAATCGCAATCCGAGGAAGATGAAGAGGATGAAGAGTCGGAGGAATCAGATGTGGATATAGAGGAAGAACTGAGGCAGAGTCAGGAGGTGGCCGACGGTGAAGAAGATGGTCAGTGGAAGATTTAAAGTGAAAGCGCACGTATATTTAGGGGTTTCTTCTAGTTGTAACTACAAAAAATATGTCCTTTCATTGATTTAGGTTAATAGTCCATTGTAATCAGGGGCTTTGCAGGGAGCTGATCTCTAATATACCATAGGTCATGCTAGAACCTGTAGTCCCCTTGATTACGTCTTACAGTATATCAAGGGTAAGCAACCTTGATATTACATCATACATACAGTTCAGTATATGAGGGGTAGGCAACTTTGATATTACATCATACATATAGTTCAGTATATGAGGGGTAAGCAACCTTGATATTACATCATACATACAGTTCAGTATATGAGGGGTAGGCAACCTTTATATTACCTCCATATAATACAGTTCAGTATATGAGATGTAAGCAACCTTGATATTACATCACATATAGTTCAGTATATGAGGGGTAAGCAACCTTGATATTACATCATACATACAGTTCAGTATATCAGGGATAGGCAACCTTGATATTACATCATACATACAGTTCAGTATATGAGGGGTAAGCAACCTTGACATTCCAGCTGTTAGTGAACCAAGTCCCATGAGGCATTGCAAGACCCTGACAGCCACAAGCTTGACTCCTGGATGTAGAGGTATGATGGGATTTTTACTGCTGAAGTGCCGAGGATGCCTACCCCTGCAATATATGGTGCATAATAGGTCCTGCTGTGAGTTACCATTCTGCAGTCTCTTAATATACAATGTATATACTGTATATCATGCGGAGAGGTCTCTAGCTCTCTATGGTAGCTAGCATGTGGATTGTTGTCCAGTGCCCACTCTATATCCCTGTTTTTTTTTCCATCATGTGTTGTCACATTGCCTTTATGGCTCCTTCTCACTCCTTCTCACATGTGCCCAGGCCTCCTCTGTATTCCACATCGCTACCTCATGTTCCCTTTCTGTTTCATGTGTGGATCTCTGGACTGCAGCTCCTTAGCATTCCTCAAAGCGGCATACTGACTGGCTGCCACAAAGCCCTGAATGCAAACTCCAGAGATGTTTCGGTCCTTAGCCTGAAAGTGGAAGTTACTAGAGAAATTCCCCTTTCACCTTTCATTTTAGGGTTAGTCATACCTGTAAACGATAAATAATAAAGTTTCTAAAGTTAGCAGAACGGGGATTTCCTTTCTGCATTGCTGGAGGATTTTTGCGCAAATTCACCGTCACAAGAGGCCATTGATGTGTAGATGGACGGACTGAATTTAGCAGTGTGGATGGAGTGGGGAAGAGTTTATAGAACTCCCCGTAGTTCTCTTCAGGGTCACGGAGGACATAACCTAACCTCCTCCCATGATCCAAAGCTCAGTATATAGCAGGCTATTGCCCGCTATATACTGAGGGCACCGCAGCCGGGACAGATCCCAACAATACTGGCGATCCACCCCGTTGGTTGATTGACAGTGGGCTCTGCCTATCAAAAGGCAGAGCCAGCTATGCCCGTCCGTTCGGTCAGCGCTGGATAATCGGAAAGGGGAGGAGGAATCTCTGCAGGGAGCAGTGACTGACAGGGAGAGGGTCAGGAAGTCAGCGATCGGCGGTATGTGTTCGTTGACTTCCCGATCAATAGAGCCGACCTGTGACAGCTTCATTGTCACAGGTCGGCTTGAATTATGGGGGATTAGTGTTTTTCCCACACCCCATAATTCTCCTTTTAAGTCCCGTCAGGTTTTTAGTGCAATCCAGGCCCTTTCACCTTCACCTTGAGGCTATAACACACTCCAGAGAATTCCTTCTGCAACATTTTGGGTTGTGTTTTGTGGGTGCCCATTCAGCCTGAACCCAATAAGTTGGAGAGGTGTCCACATACATTTGGCCATATAGTGTGTCTAAGATATCATTCCTACTTACACTTGTTTTTTCTTCTTGCATTTCGATTTAGAAGAGGTGCCCGTTGACTACTTGAATGAAACCGACCAAAAGATGGAGGGGGCATCCAGTCCCATGAACTCTTCTCCTGCTGGTAAGGAGGATGAGGAGGAGGAGAGCGACAATAGTGATCAGACCGGAGATGACGTTATAGAGGAGGGTACAGATAAAGATGAAGACCAGGAGTTATCTTCCGGTATTACTTCTCTCTCACCGGAGAAGGAAGATCTGAACGCAAGTTTAGAGTTGGAGGCGGATGCAGCTGATCCTGCCTCTTCTGGTCATAGTAATGATGGTCAACTGGCCAACAATTCCCAAGAGGACCACGCTGAGCCAGAGAAGGACACTTTAACCTCACCTGCGCCTTCTGATGAGTCAGATTCTGGAAATCACACTATGGAGCAATTAGAGATGAGTGTCGTTGAAGAGGATTTTATTGGGGGCTATAACACCGAGGTGGAAAATGTGCCTTATGTGGAGGCAAAAGTGTCTTCCAGCAAGGAGCAGGGTACTAGCAAGCATACAGACACAACAGATGATTTGGTCAAGGATCCCAAGAGCCTGACGGGAAAGTGGAAAGATGGAAAGACCAGCCGTTTGGACAAATGCATCAGCAAAATTACTGGCAGTCTTGCTGACAAGGTCCCTATAAAAAGTCAGGCGGCACCATCTTTGGCCAGTGGGAGACAACGTTTCAGGCATCACAGAAAGCCTAGTTTAGGGGGCTCATCAAGGACTCAGGAGCAGAGCAGTAACTTGAAGCTGGTCTGTGTCAATACTCCGACTCAGAGCTGGGACTCTGTACGCAAGGTTGCGTTCAGCCACGGTCAGTCTGCGGATGAGAAATCGGACGTGGTGCACTTGGATAGTTGCAAAAACAGCACACGTGGCGATGCCAGCAACGGCGTTCACAGGGCCATGGTTATGTCGGCCACTCCTGTGAATCGCCTGAAACGGAAAAGAGACACGAACTCTTCTACAGACTCTCTATGCACTGTAAGAGTCGAGGAACTTGGTGCCCACAGGAGGAAAAGAAAGCCTTCCCCACAGATATGGACTGGGAACGGAGTGACAAGGTACAACGGGGCAGAAAACGGCAAGCAGCAGAAACTGAAGATTTCAAACCTCAGCAGGTGAGCAATGGGACCTTACTGGTGTAAAGCAAGTGCGCCTGTCATTTAGGTGTAGTCATAGAGAAGGGTGGAGGAAGTGAATGTTGCGGTGGAGGAAGTGAATGTTGCGGTGGGGGGAAGTGAATGTTGCGGGTGAGGTTGGGGGAAGTGAATGTTGCGGGTGAGGTTGGGGGAAGTGAATGTTGCGGTGGAGGGTGGAGGAAGTGAATGCTGCGGTGGAGGGTGGGGGAAGTGAATGTTGCGGAGGAGGGTGTAGGAAGTGAATTCTGTAGAGGAAAGGAATGCTATCGAGGAAGGGTGGAGGAAGTGAATGCTGCGGAGAAGGCAGGAGAAAGTGAATGCTGCAGAGGAGGGTGGAGGAAGTGAATGCTGCGGAGGAGGGTAGAGGAAGTGCATGTTGTGGAGAAGTTGAATGTTGCAGAGGAGGGTGGAGGAAGTGAATGTTGTGGAGGAAGTGAATGTTGTGGCGGAAGGGAATGCTGCAGAGGAGGGTGGAGGAAGTGAATGCCATAGAGGAAAGCAGTGCTTTGGAGGAGGGTGGAGGAAGTGAATGCTATTGAGGAGGGTGGAGGAAGTGAATGCTGCAGAGGAGGCTGGAGGAAGTGAATGCCATAGAGGAAAGCAGTGCTATGGAGGAGGGTAGAGGACGTGAATGCTGCAGAGGAAATTAATACTATACAGGAAGTAAATGCTGTGGAGGAGGGTAGCGAAGGGGAATGCTATAGAGGAAAGGAATGCCGTGGGGGAGGGCAGAGGAAGCGAAAGCTGTGGGGGAGGGTAGTTGAAGTGAATGATGTAGTTTGTTTTGTTAAAGTCATCTACACCCCCCCTATGCATCTGTAGAAAATAAATCAAGGCAACTGGACTCGCTGTATTTTTCTCGAAGCCGCTTTGCTGGTCATCCGGCTAGCTTTCTCGATTCAGGATGGATTCAGCAAGTCCAGTTGCCTTGATTTATTTTCTACAGATATACCAAGAGCTGGATGACGGAACCTTTACAGACATTATCATGTTTACAAAGAACTGTTGGAGGGGTGTAGGGTGCTTTGTAGCTCTTATTTTAGGGCATTGATGAGAACTAGTGGTGGAGCTACAGAGAGAAAACTGGAGCGAGGAAATCTGTTTGTGAATTTGGTTCAAGCACTCAAGCCTGTTGCCCTCGCCCCCCGTGGGAGCCTGTTGCCCTCGCCCCCTGTGGGAGCCTGTTGCCCTCGCCCCCTGTGGGAGCCTGTTGCCCTCGCCCCCTGTGGGAGCCTGTTGCCCTCGCCCCCTGTGGGAGCCTGTTGCCCTCGCCCCCTGTGGGAGCCTGTTGCCCTCGCCCCCTGTGGGAGCCTGTTGCCCTCGCCCCCTGTGGGAGCCTGTTGCCCTCGCCCCCTGTGGGAGCCTGTTGCCCTCGCCCCCTGTGGGAGCCTGTTGCCCTCGCCCCCTGTGGGAGCCTGTTGCCCTCGCCCCCTGTGGGAGCCTGTTGCCCTCGCCCCCTGTGGGAGCCTGTTGCCCTCGCCCCCTGTGGGAGCCTGTTGCCCTCGCCCCCTGTGGGAGCCTGTTGCCCTCGCCCCCTGTGGGAGCCTGTTGCCCTCGCCCCCTGTGGGAGCCTGTTGCCCTCGCCCCCTGTGGGAGCCTGTTGCCCTCGCCCCCTGTGGGAGCCTGTTGCCCTCGCCCCCTGTGGGAGCCTGTTGCCCTCGCCCCCTGTGGGAGCCTGTTGCCCTCGCCCCCTGTGGGAGCCTGTTGCCCTCGCCCCCTGTGGGAGCCTGTTGCCCTCGCCCCCTGTGGGAGCCTGTTGCCCTCGCCCCCTGTGGGAGCCTGTTGCCCTCGCCCCCTGTGGGAGCCTGTTGCCCTCGCCCCCTGTGGGAGCCTGTTGCCCTCGCCCCCTGTGGGAGCCTGTTGCCCTCGCCCCCCGTGGTGGGAGCCCATTGTCGGCCATCCAGTTCCAGAACCACAGGCATTAATAAGGAGTTGCCTCCCCTTTGTGGATATAACGACCTCCATTTCTGGGAATGCTTTCCATAAGATTTCATTGTGTGTGTTTTTGAGACTTTTTGTGCCCATTCATCCAAAAGCACTTTTGAGGTCAGGTACTGACTGTGGATGAGAAGACCCGGCTCACAATTTGCTCCTGACCTTACGAGCACTTTTGGCTGAACATTAATACCCATGGCTTTGGATGATCAACAGGTAATTTGGGTGTGGGGTGGTGAGGTGTCCACAGACTTTGAGCCAAAAAGTGAACTCTACAGGTTCCCTTTAGATTGTGCACAGATATTTATTGATGATGGACACGGTTCTATGATCTGAATACGGCACGGTCATTTTTCATCCCAAAGGTGTTCAGTAAGGTTGAGGGCTCTGTAGAGGACACTAAGTTCCTCCACATCTAACCATGTCTTTATGGAGCTGTCTCTGTACACAGGGCACAGTCACGGTGGAACAGAAAAAGGACCTTCACCAAACTTACCACAGAGCTAGAAGAGCGCAACTGTCTAAAATATCTATTAAACCCTTCAACTCAATCATTTGTAGGGTTTCCTCATATTTTGGGTCATATATTGTAATATAATATGGCCATATAGTATATTTCAAACGGATTTATATATTGGTTTCTAATGTTTTATTTGAAGGTAATTATTGCTGGAACATTTTTAATTTTTGGGGGACAGATGGAGCTTTCTTTTAGTGGTATTTAATCACCACTTGGGGTTTCTTATTTTTTTACTTTTTTACTATGTAAAGAAAAAAGTACTGAATATTTTTTTTTTTTGGGGTGGGGGGAACCTGTTTTCCCTACGATATGTTATGAAACGTTTATCACCCCAATTTTTTGGTAAAATATAAAAGACGGGGTCACATCGAGTGAAAAAACCCCAAACATGTCAAGCCTTAAAATTGTGTGAAATCGCTTATCAATTTAGTATTAACGGTGACTGATGGCCCGAGAATGATTGCTTGCACACTCCATTTGCGGTGATATGTAACTTGTGACGCAATCGTTTTTCACAGGTAGATGTACCTGATATGTTTGCATGTACCTGGGGTTAGGGATTTTAATGTTTTTTTTTGTTTACACTTTATTGCTATCACATAGGGGGCTAACATTCCCCCTATGTGATAACACAGATACAGGGACAGGTTCTCTTTATGGAGACATCAGCGGTCTATAAAGGTCACCTAGGGACGCCAAAACCACACACACACACACACACACACACACACACACACACACACACACACACACCGCCCCACCTTTGAACTGCTGCTTGTGATCTGCAACTAATGACTGAACATTAGTTCCTCCTTCCTCTGCTCGAAGGGGAGGGCCCTCCAGTGTAAAGAGAAGTACTGTTTACATTTTTGATCACTGTGATTGGTCATCACAGTGATCACATGATACTAGGGCAGTGCAAATTAACGATTAATTTCTCGATTAATCGTTAATCTTTTTGATCGATTACAAAATTTTTGATCGCTAATGAAAATACTCACCTCAGCCGGCTTCCGGGAGTCCCGTCGGAGATCCAGTGATGTCATCGGACTCCTCCCCCCTTCCCCTATGGGCTTCGTCGGCTAACGAAGGGAAGGGGGAGGAGTCAGGTGACGTCGATGTCCCCAAGTGGCTCCATCGGCTAACGAAGGGAAGGGGGAGGAGTGCGGTGACTATGTCCGTGTCGTCACCGGACTCCTCCCCCCTTCCCTTCGTTAGCCGACGGAGCCACATGGGCCGGTGAGTTTGCCCAAGAAACTTTCTGCACGAGCACCAGCCAAGGCATTGGCCTATACACATAAAGCACAGCAATGAAGTAATAAAATGAACTAGGATCACACTAATCCAGCATGTTATTCTGAGTTGCCCCACTCAAGCGGCGGCCATGTTGAGTGGGGCACGTGAGATTAATAACGTGCTGGATTAGTGTGATCCTAGTTCATTTTATTACTTCATTGCTGTGCTGTATGTGTATAGGCCAATGTAGTTGGATCTGTATGTGCGTTATAATCGAAAGTAATCGATTTAAAAAAAATTTGATTATTCGAACATAAAAATTTTAATTAGTAACAGCCCTACATGATACACATTCACTCTTTTCAAATACATTTTTATTGAAGGTAAAGAGTAATGGAATGAAAAGCGAAATCATGCTATATTCACAGTACTTCAATGTATATAATAATATCGCGGTTACAGATGGGATCCTGGAATCTGGGATCATCTACCAGAGTGGGCTTTCAAGTAGGCAGGGTAGGTGCTTACGTGTGTGCTTTTTAGTAGTTCAGTGAGTATTTCCGGTGGATATCTTGTTGCTTAAGGTCATAGATTATGGCTTGGGGTGCTTGATATCAATGGGGTAGTAGACATTTGCAAAGGGACTGTACACATTCACTCTTTACAGTGTGTTTTCTGTGTCACTGGCCGCCCATGAGGGATTTCCGGAGTGATAATTATAAATGGAACTCCAGAAATACATTCACCTCCGGCCATATTTTATTTATTTATTTTTTTACAAATTGATGTTTCCTTTTTTCAAGGCTTAAAGTGACACTAAACTCCGGAGTTAAATCTTAAAATACATTCAAGTCCCTTAACTATTAACAGAAATGTGTCTTATTTGTGTATCACTCGGCTGTAGATCCTCCAATCGTCTCTGAATTGGTGCTGACACTGTCCTTCCTTCTGGAGGGGGGCTACTTTTGTTCCCCATGGTCCCCGTGTGTGTTGTAAAGTAGTCACCGCTCCAAGTTCGCTCCAGTGATGGACTACAATCTCCATACAAATGAGTAAACTAAACATGAGATTGTAGTCCATCACAGGAGTGAGCTTGGAGCGGTGAATACTTTACAACACAACAGCAAAAAGTTTTCCAGCCCACTCACCAGCTAGCATGTAAAAAAAAAACTTGTCTCACCGTTAAGGTTAAAAACGGAGGTTTGGCTACACGTCTTCTGCAGAGAATGTGAAAGCCGCACAGCCGCGCCAAGGCACCTCTTATAGTGCGGCCCTAACTCTAAACTATCAGA